TTCACTATATTGGTTCAGGAATAAAGCAGTATAATCCATTCATGAAATATTTACTGAGCACCTAGTACAGGTCAGGTACTGCTGGAAGCATGCAAAGAGAAGGCGCAAAACAAGACAAAAATTCCTTCTCTCCACATCCTCAGTGGTGGAACAAAGACCAAAGATCAACCAACCAACAATAAGATACAGTGTGGCAGACTGTGGAAAGTGCTATGGGAAAAACAAAACCAGGGAAAGACACAGGGAGTGATGGAGTCACAGCGGGGGTCAGAAAAGGCCTCCATGATAAGCCAGAACTAAGGCCTACTGGTGGGAGGAGGTGAAGGTATGACCCAGTGGGTCCTGGAGGAGGAGTGACCCAAGCGTGAACCAGGAGTGACGTCCACCAGGACCTTTTGTAGAACAGTAAAGGGTTAAGAGGAAGCATTCCAGGATGAAGACTACCTGGGTTCAAATGCTGGCTGGGCACTTATAAGCTATGTGACCCACTTAACTAATTATTATTGCTCCCATTTTTTCATTTTGAGGATACTGATGGCCAGAGAAGTTAAGTGGCTTGCCTGGGCATCAGTATCCTCAAAATGAAAACAACTTTCAGATGGCTTCATCACCACGGAATAAATCTTACTAGCTTCCACTCCAGAGAAAATGCTTCTTTACTGGCTTCTACCAGAACCCAGAAATGGGGATGTTTCCTTACACTTTAGAGAGCTGGCACTCATCACTACTTTCTTTGCTCAAGAATCACTCAACTGGCAACTTCCTCACTGCTTTGTCTTATTCCTAGAAGTAGCTGAGGCTGTGTTCAGACAATCTCACAATGAAAGAAACCCATTCTCTCTCTCATAGGAAAGTGCCTGAAGGTGTTTTTCATTCCTTGAGGTCCTTAACTGGCCAGATGAAATGGGGTTGTCATGTTTCAATCCATCTATCTAAATACTCAGCTAATTTTTTTTCTTTTTTTAATTTAAGAAACAGGGTCTGGCTCTACTGCCCAAGCTGGAGTGCAGTGGCGTGATCATAATTCACTGCAGCCTGGAAGCTGGGATTACCGGTGTGAGCCACAGCCCCCAGCAGTTTTGACAGGTATTATTTGTCAATGTGTAACAAGTTTTATAATTCTTACAGGTGACAACATAATTCCACTCTGGAGAATACATCCAAAGAAGTCAGTGCCTCCTTTGCCCCTTCCCCAATCAAAGTAATCTGTACAAAGTGATTCACAGCAATGTTGTTAAAACAATGATAAATGCAGCTAACCTAAGTGTCCATCAATCACTGAATGACTGAGCAAATGAGTGTCTCAACCTGAGGAAAACCTATGTGACCAACAATAATACATAAAAATAATAATAACAGCAATTGTTTTCTGAGCACTGACAATCAATGAGATAAGATGCTAGAGGCAGCCACGTGCAGTGGCCCACACCTGTAATCCTAGCACTTTGGAAGGCCAAGGCGGGAGGATTGTTTGAGGTCAGGAGTTCAAGACCACCCAAGGCACATAGCGAGACCTTGTCTCTACACAAAATAAACAAAATTAGCCAGGTGTGGTGGTTTGCACCTGGTGTCCCAGCTACTTGGGAGTCTGAGGTGGGAGGGTTGCTTGGGCCCCAAAGGTCGAGGCTGCAGTGAGTGGTGATCTCACCACTGCACTCTAGCCTGGGCAACAGAATGAGACCTTGTCTCAAAAAAAAAAAAAAAAAAAAAAAAAAAAAAAAAAAAAAAAAAAAAAAAAAAAAAAAAAAAAAAAACGGTTTTGGAAGCTATTACATATATTATCTCACTGAATATTTCTTTGTGAGATAGTTATTTCTGTTTTACAAATAAGAAAACTGGGGGTTCAGAAAGGTTCAAGCTTGCATTTCAGGAAATAAAATTATAAAAAACAAATAAAACAACAAAAAAAGAAAGGTTCAAATACCTCTAGAAAGCTGGTATTCAAACTAGTCCACCATGTACCAAATGAGTGACCTTAGACAGGGAACCACTCTGGGCCTCAGTTTTTTCATCTGTAAAATGCAGCAATGACACAGCATTTAAATCAAATGGTTATTGTGAGGATTAAACTAGTTATCAAATTTAAAGTGCTGAGAGTAGTCCTTGGCACCCAATAATAAATGCCATTTTCCCTGCCATTAAGCCACAGACTTCAGTCACACCAATCTACTGCTTCCTCGCTAAACACGCCATATTCTTTCACATCCTTCTTGCCTTTTTCACATGCGTTGTTTTTCAACTCTACCACTGACTCACTGTGACTGCATGTTATTAATGTGAAGCTCCTTAGAGAAGAAATTCCATCTGCAGTTCTTTAGGGTGTAAGATGTTGATTTGCTTGATAAATATTAAACCAGGACCATTGCCTAAAATTAGCCATTTTAATAGTTTATACTTACATAACAAAATTCAAGGTGACCCTTTAAAATGTATTTGGGGCTCCTTTCCTGTTCATTTAAATGCTGACTTCTAAGAAAAACTAAAGGGTTAGCAAGCTTTATATACATTTATGTATTTTAGACACAAGACACAGTCTCACTGTGTCACCCAAGCTGGAATGCACTGGCATGATCTCAGCTCACTGCAACCTCCATCTCACTGGTTTAAGTGATTCTTCTGCCTCCACCTTGCAAGTAGCTGGGCTTACAGGCATGCACCACCACACCTGACTAATTTTCATATTTTTAGTAGAGATGGAGTTTCGCCATGTTAGCCAGGGTAGTCTTGAACTCCTGACCTAAAGTGATCTGCCTGCCTTGGCCTCCCAAATTGCTGGGATTACAGGGCCACCACACCTGGCTGGGTTAGAAAGCTTTCTTAAAAAAAAGAAAAAAAAGAGGAAAGGGTGGAGGAAAAATAATAAAAAATAAACACAAAGCTTTCTCCTTTCCAGTTTGCAGCCTCTCATACTTCACCCACTCTTTTCTCACCCATCATTTATAACAATACTGACCTCAGGGCAGTCAAAGTAGTCCTTAAATAATATATAAAATGTAAAGGACTATTATTGCTACAAGTAATACTAATAGACCTCGCCTCTGCCTGAGCAATTACTGGCAGAAGCTTGTCTAACAACGTGGACAGATATGGTTTCTCTGTCCCTTCTCCTGCCCCATCCCAGGAGAAATGTTGAACTTCACAGATTCAGGACTGTACATAATTATAATACACACACATACACGTATGTGTGTGTGTGTGTGTGTGTGTGTGTGTGTGTATAAAATCTCTCAACTGGAAAAAGATGGACAATATCAAAGTTATAAATAAAAATGAGATGAGTGGACAATATGAAATTTGGCATAAAGGAAGAAAATGTGCCTTTCAACACTTTGCCTAGGGTAGGTCTCATACCTATGAAAGAGATCTACCTGCAGAACCTATGTCATTTTCTACCCTCATTAGTCTTGTCTAGTTCCAGCAAAAATCAGCTAAAGATTGGTAGCAGCTTGAAGGCTAACTTAAGAGTCTTTAAAGAGGTGAAAGCAGCCAGGTCATTTGTAAATTTCCTTAGTCAACGTTCAGAATTTAGAGGGAACTCCCAGAATCCACCCAATGCTTCGATGATGTTGACTACAAAGGGAAAAAATGGAGGACTGGTAGTGGTAGGGGCGAGTAGAAAACAGTCCTCCATCTTCTCCCACCAAGTCAGCCTTCATAAAAGGCTTCTGTTCCATCTTTTTTTCACAGGGAAATATGGGGAGGGAATCACTCTAATAAAAGTGACTCCCTTTGCTCACACAGTGCATGTGGCCTGCTCATTCAGGCACAAGGCCATGCCACTCTTTTCCCCTATGTCTTTTATTGGAAGGCAGGGAGGCTGCCAGGTGAAGCTGGAAGCACCCAGAGAGCAAGGCTGCTTCCATGCCTTTCTCTCCAGTGTTGCAAATACAGTCACAGTAGATGAATTTTGAGAAGATGGAAGAATAAAACCTCTAAGGTCTCTTATGGCATTAAATTATCATGAAATCTTATCTGTCTATACTGGGATTCAGAGACTAAGTAAACATTGCTTTTGCAATGCTCTGAGCATAAAGTTCTTTGATTCATACTTAAAAAATGGGGAAAGATGATATTTATTTAAGATGGTGGTTTTTAAACCTTTAAAAAACTAGACCACTTGTTTCGTAAATGAAATCTTACACGGAACCTTACTATAGTAAACAGATGTGGTGCTCCTCTGGTTGCAGCAAGGGTGAGGGGCCAGGGACTCTACCCTCCTAGTTGCCTCAGTCTGGGACACCTGACATTTAAAATATGGATTATAAATTTGATACACGCATTGTATCAGTGTTTAGTTTCCTGAATTTGATGAACGTACTATGGTTATATAAGACTACGTCCTTATTCTTAGGAGACACAAACTCAAGTACGGTACATGGCCTAAGAGGGACATAATATGTGTGAACTACTCTCAAACAGTTTAGAAAAAAATATAGTTTGTTTACACATATGGAGAAAACAATGGTTCTCAAATTGGGACCCCTGGAGGGGCATCAGCATCCCTTGGGAACTTGTTTCTAGAAATACAAATTCATGGGCCCCACCTCAATCCTGCTAAATCAGTTGTCTGGGGTAGGGCCCAGGAGTGTGTGTTTTAACCTGAGACTTCCTGGTTTTTCAGACACATGCTAAAGTTTGAAAACCACTGATAGAGAAATGAGAAAACAAATATGGTGAAATGTTAAAACTGTCAAATCTGGGAAAAGGGCCTAAGGGAGTTTTCTGTATTATTCTTGAAACTTTTTTTTTGTAAATTTGAAATTACTTCAAAATAAAAATTAACAATAAAAGTACCCTGGGACAATAAGCACAGAAATGTGGAGAAGGGATGTGGGAGGCAGGGAGGCAAATCAGGAGGTTAGTGCAGGAACCATGCATGAGGTGATACGATTTACGACTAAGACTGTAGCAGCTCCAGTCCCGAGTGAGAACAGGATATCTGCAGCCTTCAAACAACAAATCTCCTCCTTGCAGAACATCTGGGCAGCAACCACACTAACCTGAATAGGAGAGTCCGGCAATCTCTATGAAGAGGTCTTCTTCAGAAAAGCTTTCCGGGAGCATGAGGAAAGCAGCAGTCACAGCACTCTTTAGATTTCTGTCAAGGGCTGATCTAAGAGTTATATCCTCGTTCATTGTGACAATTTTCACCTGAAAGAAGCAGAACATTGAAAAGAAAAATTTCAGAAATGAAGTATTGCTCAAGCATGAAGTATTGCTCAAGTATTGTTCCAGTATTACACATGCACTGGAACTGTCCCAAACTCTTCCCACTGAAGATCCTGGAATATTGGTTCAGGTGACACAAAATTGTTCCTCTAATAGTAATCCCAGAATCTCCTTGTTTTATGCCAAAGTCAAAGAAATCATGACACAGGAAAGGATCAAAATGCCAAAAAAAACCACCCAAATACTCTTCTTAAACAAGGAAACGCATCATAGGTTTTGAAAAAGAGTAAAAGTCCTTTGCAAACTTAATTTTTAAATTTTATAATCTCATTGTCATCACTTAATTTTTTAGTTGACAGAGGCATTTTACCTCTTTATTTAGACTTCATCTGTAATCTTGAACCATATCTAACATAGGAAGTTCATGCTCTATTTCATGATTTCTAGTTACATTGATTTTGAACTTGACTAAGGAAAAATGAAAGAAAATTAGCTACAGTAGAAAAAGAATGGGTTTTAGAGGTAGATATGGGCTCACGTTCAGATACTTACTAGCTATGTGAGTTTGGGCAAATGATTTGCATCAAAGAACAGTCACAAAGATTGACTACAATAATAAACGTGAAGTGTCTAGAATACTAGCAACTGCTTTGCTCGATAAGAAGAATTTTTCTCAACACAGAGCAGAAGCTGCCATTTGAGACTTTCTGCAAATCCATTAAAATACAAACAGTAACTTAGGTTTGGTGGCTCATACCTATAATCTCAGCAATTTGGGAGGCCAAAGCAGGGGGATCAAGAGACCAGCCTGAGCAACATAGTGAGACCCCATCTCTAGAAAACAAAAACAAGAAACCCCAAAACCTAGCCAGGCATAGGGATGCACATGTGTGGTTCCCAGGTACTCAGGAGGCTGAGGTAGGAAGACAGTTTCAGTCCAGGTGGTTGAGGCTGCAGTGAGCCATGATCACAACACTGCGGTCCAACCTAAAGGACACAGTGAGACCCTGTCTCAAAAAGAAAAGAAAAAAAAAATACTAAGAGCTCCAGTCTCTTCTGAGATTTTTAAAGACTGCACTGGGCCGGGCGCGGTGGCTCAAGCCTGTAATCCCAGCACTTTGGGAGGCCGAGGCGGGTGGATCACGAGGTCAAGAGATCAAGACCATCCTGGTCAACATGGTGAAACCC